AAACGAACCGCAAAACCTGCAGCATTTAGAGCCACATGTACCATCACATGTGAATCTAGAGACTCTCTGAAAGGAGTTGCTGGTCCACAGCATTAAGAGAAATATTATTATAGAAGGCAGAAACATGTAAATCCTGCAGTCAGACACTTGTGATTTGCAAGTGCATTCAAAGTTGCCGCTAAATAAAACAGAAATGGTAAAGATCACAATGATGACAATGTAGGTACGCCGTTTTCCCGAAGCAAGATTTGTGATTAAAGCCTCCATCTCTGATTCGATCTGCTGGTATCCTGCTTATACCCTCTGAAAATATACAGTACTAACAGGAAACCACGCACTTCCTGTTTTCAAAGTATGTGCACATATAAAACTGCAAACATCCTGATTATAAGACATTGTTTTGCACCTTTAGACAATCATAAACAGTTATGAGTTCTTCAAACAAAGTAAATCAGCACATTTTTATGTGACATAAATTTGTACCATGACGTCTCAACAGAGTTTGAAATTTGAGGCAGCAGAACCAGAGAGTGAGAAGCATTCAGTTTCATATAATTCATGATCTGCTCCAGTAAAGAGTCGATGTTTGCTGACAGTGCTGGAGGTAAACACGTTATTGTAATCACATTACATTTGTCTTTAACACCCGCATTCTGTTATTAATAGAATAACAATGACACTTTTGCTACATACAGTGCACGGTTCAGCTGTGAATAATAAGAGAGAAGCAGAGATGATGACTCCCAGGGTGGTCAAATATCAGCTGGCTCCATAAATCACTACAGAATCCCATCTTGACATTTACACTAGAATAAACACGCTTACAGCCTGGTCCAAAATGATTTTCATTTCAATTTCTCCCATTCGAATAATTGCATGTGGGATATGTGCCATTCATTCAGGTATTTTAAGGCTTAAAGTTAGCAGTGTGATTACTCGGATCATCAGACATAATATGACTTGCTGTGGGGTACATACTATTCAAGAAATTTGTGCGATCCACCTTTTAGTTTTTCATACAAAATGTATTTGTTTGGACAGTTTTTAAGCTCCGTGTAACCCACACTGTTGGAGCATCAACCTTCACAAAAACCTGGAAGTCATGCACATTGTTACCCAAGTCAATTTTGTGCACTACATATATTTTTGATTTTCCCTTTGTTGTAACTTTTGCTGCTTCATGCATCGTACCAACCTTTGGGAAACAAGGAGTCGCAGAAAACAACATGACCCAAGGCAGCAAGGTCTTGCTGGCTTTGAGTCATCCATGGAAAAGGAGAGGGCATGAGTCACTCAGTGCTGTGTCTTTGTATTCACAGTCGCCTCAAAAGCTTTTTCTGGCCTGCAAAGCAGTTGAATACTTGGATACATG